ACAGACACAAATAGTAAATACACACTCAGCGAGGGTGTGTAAATATGAGAGTTAAGTACAATATGATGAAGCCTCAGAAAAGTTCATTCCAGCCCGTAAAGACAGATTAGAAACATCCCGTCCGACCAACTGTGAGCAAACAGTGCCACGAGAACATGGAACAACGACAATATAGGAAGAATAACATGGAACAAAGACAATATAGGAAGCAGAGCACGGAGAACAGAAGCAAATACAAGGTAAGTAACCTTGTTTATGCTAGTGGAGAGAGGCATTGCCATGTATGGTGACTTCAGGTAAATAAACACGTTATGTCAGACTTTGAAATGAAGTCAGACTTGTGAGGGACTCATAACAGATGCCAGGAAGTCTTCGAACCCGACGCTTACACTTGTCTTAGTGGTCAGAGTGCCAAGAATTAATGATCTTACCATAACAGTAAGAGAAGCAGCTCTCGTCTGCCTTTCACTGATTACATGTTGTTGTTTACACTCAGCTTCTCGGAGCCAAAAGTTGGAAGCAGCAGCAGCACTCTCTCCTGTCGTGAGAGTGCAGCAGACGAGAGCGGGCGGGCGGGCGGGCGGGCGGGCGGGCGGGCGGGCTGCGTCTTCATGATGAGCCTTTGATTTTGATTGTTGCCGCCGGAGGCGCCTAGTTTATTGTGCACCCCATACTCATCCTGTGAGCGGTAGCGCAAAAAGCATTACAGAGGGCACAAAAGGTCTTTATCAGACCTCATCTTAGATTATTACATAAACAATTTCATCTATCCTTCACACCTTATAGTTACAATGTCAGCTAATTACAGAGAAAGTGCTATTTCAAGAGCTATATATTTACAGTAAGTCATTATACATTAATGGTAGGTCTTATCGCTAATACATAATAGTTTGACCAATGGAGATATTAGTCATAGGGGAGCTGCTGTTTATTATTAGTCCTCACAATACACTACTTGTTTCTGAATCTCATATGTCGTTTATCTACTGGAAGCGAAATGTGGATACAGTGCAAGGATTTCAGGTAATTTATCCATGGTAATAAGATAGGTTGCCATATCATACAGAGTGAGCTTAGATTTATTTATAAATGGCTCAATTTTACTACAATCCAAGATATAGTGTTAGTGTGTGTCCCTGTCTTTGTCCACACACTTTACACTTTACTTCATCTAAATTCCTATACAAGTTGAACTGCCAGAGATACTTGTAGCCAAGTCTTATACGAGCTGTGACAACATCTGTTAGTCTACTTACATTGTTACTTGCCCCATACACATGTTTTACTTCACACATTTCATTGTGATGAACAATGGACCTGCTAGTTCCAGTTTGCACTGTTCTACTGTCTTCAAATTCATCCCGGAGTTCTCGTCTAATGACACTTTTAAGGGACCTATTTGATAACTCAAGATTCCGTTCAGTACTGTCTTTATTTACTGCAGCCTTAGCAAAAGCGTCAACAGGAAATAATTTAATAATATTATGTTTAATAATATTAATTTATATACGAGAAGAAACCATGTCATGTTCCTGCAGGCCAATATGAGGAGGAAGCCACAACATTTTTATATTTACCCTCTTGCTAAGTATTCTTATTCTAGCTTCCAAGACAAGCACGTTATTACTTGATTGCAAACTGTTTATTGCTCGTAGTGAGGAAAGGGAGTCGGAAATAATTAAGCTGTCTACTTCAGTGTTGTCAATAATTTCGAGTGCTACCAGTATTGCTACCAACTCAGCTTGCATTGTGGATGCCCTGTTCTACCTGTATACTAATTCGGATATTCCTTTGAATTGTGCTGCCATCGGGCTGATGAGCAATAACAGCACTTCCTGCCCTCCCTGTAGCTGTATTGAGTGATCCGTCAGTGTATATGGTCTGTGCTATGTTGTTTTCAGCTTGTATATTGTGAATGTGTTCTATGTAACTTGCTTAATTTAGCAGCAAGCTGAGCATGAGGGTTGCTTGTGATTAGTTTCTTGGTGGGGTATGCAGGGGTCAGGATGTCAAAAGGTACTATCTGCCAGGGTGGAAGGAAGTGCTGTACTCTTTCATCTGTATATACATCGTGCAGTCCCATCATTTTAATATGAGTGGCTGTTCTTTGAATCCATTTAGACTCGCTGGTTCCATTTCGTATGTGTTCTAACAGTGCAACTGACACAATGTTGTTTTTGTTATCACGCAGAAGCTTTAGTCCCATCATAAGATTAATTTCAAATATTCTATCTCGAATGCTAAGTATATTTAACTCTTACCGCATGTTGAGAACTTTGGTAGTTATAGGACAGCCTGTAGTGGACTTACCTGCCACAGGAGATGTGCCGAATGATTACAGCTTGAGGGATTTTAAGGGTTCATAATAATTAGTGTTATATTGAATGGCTTCGAGCCATAAATTGTCTTCTGGAGCAGTTAACGTTGTAACAGTATTCCGTCTTCGTATATCTGGTGTTAACGTTCTTGTTTCTCAATTCATCTTTGTGTTCTTACCGTAAAGTTCTCTTGATTACTCCCACGTCTTTCTTGTTACATATTTTGTGTGGTGGTCTGGCGCCCTTGTGGAGCTTTGTGGTGACCTCTCGCTTCTTGACGCTACTCACACTTGTGAGTAGCTTCAATAGTAGCTACTATAGCTACTATACTGTACTATACTGTAGTACTACTATATACTATAGTACTACTATATACTATAGTACTACTATAGTACTACTATATATACTATAGTACTACTATATACTATAGTACTACTATATACTATAGTACTATAGTACTACTATACTACTACTATAGTACTACTATACTACTATATACTATATACTACTATATACTACTATATACTATAGTACTACTATATACTACTATATACTATAGTACTACTATATACTACTATATACTATAGTACTACTATATACTACTATACTGTAGCTACTATACACTTGTTTCATTTACAATAGTGTGACATTGTAAGTGATGTCGGATAGGTTGTTGCGGCCGTGTTGACTGTGTACAGCATCCTGGGGGACGCTTCTCTCTCAGCTCAAATTGTCATGATATTTGAGATTAATCTCCCAGTTATTTGTTTTGTGATTTTTTTTTTTTTTTTTTTTTTTTTTTTTTTTTTTTTTTTTTTTTTTTTTTTTTAGATATATACAAGAGTTGTTACATTCTTGTACAGCCACTAGTACGCGTAGCGTTTCGGGCAAGTCCTTAATCCTATGGTCCCTGGAATACGAGTCCCTGCCGCGAAGAATTGTTTTTTCATCCAAGTACACATTTTACTGTTGCGTTAATATATATGTACACTTACACAATTGTACTTTTCTTAAGGGCGATTAAAGAAAACTGTGTATTAAGTATGATCTGGGTGTATTATGTTGTCATTCTTCAAGTGTACCCAAGACCGTATAATGAGCCACACGAGCATCCTGTTCTAAACCCATGTTGGCCAAAAATTGAGAAGTTGTGATTCCATGTGTTTTATAATCTTGTTTGTAATCATTCCTTCAAACACTTGTATGACGCATTCCGTAATAACGGTCTGCAGATCGCCAGTTGCTTTGTTGCCACATTTGTGGAGCAGAGCTAATTTAATTTTGTTTCGTATTATAATTGGTATCTGTAGTAGCTAGGTTTGTGGCCATATGATATTAGTTATTTTGGTAGATTTGTTTTGCAATTTCTGATGAATTTAGAATTTCACGAGTCAGGACGAGGGGCGGCCTGCCTGTGCCTCTCCCAAAATTCCGTGGAGTTGAAATTTAAATAAGTTTATTGAGATAAAATACAAAGGGATGAGGCAGCTCAAACTGTTCTCGCTCCGATCAGTACAACGTGTTCATACATACATGGCCACACATCACAAACAATAAACATATTACCGAACATTCTGAGAGATAAACATAAACATTTCTTCCTTTACACAAGTAGTATGGTATCAGACGTACACACACATACCGTAGAGTTGTTACTATCTGAAATCCGAGTTGAAGTTGCTGTTGGGTTCATGAAGAATCCAGTTTGAGTTGTCAATCTACAGTCACTTATTGAAAACTGAATCATACTGTTGTATCAATATCTTACTTAAACAAGGATCCAATATTGATGGAATTTGCTTAATAGATGAAGTATTTTGGTTTTAGATTTCTCTAATGGCGTTGGTCTGTGAGCATAGTGCACTAAAGGTTAGCTCGGTAATATATATTTCTTTTGTTAATCTTCCTTGCTCGCTCTCTCTCCCCCGAGAGAGGGAGAGAGAGAGAGAGAGAGAGAGAGAGAGAGAGAGAGAGAGAGAGAGAGGAGAGAGAGGGGGGGAGGGGGGGGGGGGGGTTGAGTAATTCTGTCAGTTGCATTCTTCACCTGTAGAGAGAGAGCGTGGTGGGGTGTGGCGCTGGGTGTAAATATTGGCATGTGGGGTGATGTAGGGAAATAGAGCGCTGTGAAGGGCGGGGGGGGGGGGGGGGGGCGGCTAAAGAGTGGGTAGGTTGTGCAGAGGGGGTGGGGAAAGGGGGAGGGTACATTGGGGAAGGTGTGTGGGGTGGGGAAGTGTTCATGCTCCTGCATGTGTGCGTGCGTGTGTACGTGTGCGTGCGTGTGTACATTAGCAAAGTATATTTAGGTTAGTGTGTGCTCCTGCCTTCCACTCAGTTTCCATTTGTGTCAGTCTGTGTATATACAAGTATCAAGGCTTTGCAAAATATGTTAATTGGAGCTAAAAATAAAAGAACTAGGAGAGGTAACAAGCACTGAGGCCCGTCAACACACCGACCTGGAGCGTGTCTAGGTATGGTGATCCACCCCCCCCCACACACACACACGTGGGGTCAAAGGTCACCCACTTGTCAAGGCCTGGCACCTCGCACCACTCTGCTAATTAAGGCTTTCTAATGTATTAATCACGTTGCACAGTAATGAGTATTGTGCATGTGCGCAGTAATTGAGTATTGTGGCTTACAACACACAGGTACATTGACATGTTTCTCTTCCTGTCTTTGCAGTGAGCGAGAGATGACGAGAGGACCTGAAGGTGTGATTCCTTGGCGACGACGTCGCCGCTCCAGACACCGTCGAGTGGCGTCCATGGGGAGCCATGACCCGCCCTCTGACCCCACCACCCCAACAGCGCCCATGAGTCTAGAGGTTGAAGTGGGCGGCTATCTCCCCACGGGTCCCAGGAGCCTGGACCTATACGCCCCTAGCGCCCCACCTAGCATGGAGGTGCCGGAGGGCTCCTGGGAGGCGGCGGCGGTCATTCCTCGCCCGAGCCTCGCCTCCCGAAGGTCCAGCACCGGCCTCCCTAGTGAGGCCCCGTCGGGCGGCGAGCCGTCGAGGGGCGCCACCCACCGGAGGAGAAGCGACCATGCGACTAGCGATACCAACAATAATAGCAATAACGACGACAACACTGCCGCTAACACCCAAGACCCAGGCTCAAGTGAGAGAAACGACCCAGACGTTCACAACAGCACCAGCTACGGCAGCGACACGAGTGTAAACGGCGAGGTCGCTACCAGCAACGGCGAGGCACATCACAGGACCGTCACCGTGGGAAACGGTAGAAATAGCGCCGATGGCAATAGAAATGGCGGAAACAGCGGAGAGAACAGTAACAGTGACGGTAACAACACAAACGGCGACGTCACCGAAGGCAACAACAGACGCTCCGAAGTCACCAACAGAAATAACACCAACAGTGAAGGCAGCAGCAGAAACACCGCCGACAACGAAGAAAACAGAAGCAGTAGTGAAGGTAACGCCACGAACGGCAACAGGGGTGGAGCCAACAGAAGTAACGGCAGGAACGGGAGGCAGAGTCCGAGAAGGAACGGAAACACAGGTTGGTCTATTTCTGCTGTCATATTTATCACTGCATTATTCACTTTTTTTCTCGCCTCCATATTTTATTAAATTCCCCCCCCCCCCACTCCCAACCACTTGGGGTGGACGGTAGAGCGACGGTCTCCCTTCATGTAGGTCGGCGTTCAATCCCCGACCGTCCAAGTGGTTGGGCACCATTCCTCCCTCTGCCCGTCCAATCCCAAATCCTTATCCTGACCCCTTCCCAGTGCTATATAGTCGTAATGACTTGGCGCTTTATTCTGAAAGTTCCTTCCTTCCTTCCCCTCCCCCCCCCTCCTTCCTAAGTCTAGATTTTAACCGTTTTTCGTGTATTTGTAACAAGTGTTACAACTGGTAACAAGCGTTACCAAAGGCTGGGTTGTTACGTAACGTTTTTACAAGCTTTGTTTGTTTCAAGTTTCTCATCTCTCTACAAACATGTGTAGAAATGTTGTCTTGTAATTTTGCCACATTGCTCCTTGTGTTTCCTTTAGTAATATTTATTTGTTTTGTTCCATTAGTAATATTTTAATTTTTGTCGTCCTCGGCTTAAGAACGAATACCTGTAGTGGTCGTTCCTGAGCTGCGTTTGCAGCCCGTCCTCCAGACAAAGACCCAAAAGTGATTCCATCCACCCGCCAAACCCCCCCCCCCTGGTGTTTATGAATGAAAAACGGTTTACACGACTCACAACTGATGATGTTCGAACACATCCGGAACAAATGCTTCACTGACCAATTTTGTTCGAACCACAACGCTATAAATGCTTCACCCACATATAACAAATACAAATAGTGGCCAATAGAACCTAAACACCTAACCTAACCTACGCCTAATTATATAGAATTTTTATGTTTAATAATATTAATTTATATACGAGAACAAACCAATTTTTAATAGACTATGTTAAAATTGGTGAATGTGTCTGGGGAGGACGGCCGCTGCTTTAAACAGCCAAGCGTGTGGATGGGTTGTGCAAATACAAATAATCCTCAACAGAACCTAAACACCTAATCTAACCAGTGACTAAATATGCACAGTATGCCAATATATAACAATATTCATTTATATTTGAGAAAATTCCTATTTTGAATGAACATCATGTTAAAATGGATGAATGCGCCTTTGGGGTCGACCGCTGGATGGAATGGACTAGGTCTGAGGACGGGTTGGTGTAGATGCTTCACCAACGTACAGTAAATGCCAGTAATTGCAACAGAACCTATCCACCTAGCCTAAATTAGGCTTAGCTATTCACAAATTCTAGTATTAAATAGTATGACCTTACATTTGAGAAAATGCCAACTTTGATAACGCAGTACATTAAAATTTGAGTATATCCTTGGGTTCGGATACCGCCTGGGCACGTCTAGCGTGAGGACAGGTAGTGTTATATATCACACTATGATGTAAACTGTGACGTTTCTATATGACGTCACACCTCATTCAGGCCATATATGTTGTGGAGGAGGTGTGACGTCACTATGTTGAGACCGATGCGGGCATGAAGAACATGACCCAACTGGCTAGAGTGTTGTGTTTGTGTCAACGTGTGAGGTGTCCCTCGTCGCTACAGGGCCCGGGGTGGAGGCGGAGAGGCTGAGGATGCAGGGCGGCACCTGGAGCCACAACCACTCCGGCCTGATGGCCTCCCTCGCCGTCACCGTCACCACCTTCAACATCTCCAGGTTCGCAGTCCTCGGCGCCAGGTTTGGATGTGAGTGGATTTATCCGTCTTGTACTGTTCGTATTTTGCTAGATTATAGCTGTTCTGTTTCATGTTTTAGCATTGTATGCAACCTAAAGTTTGGTGGGATTTTGTCGCACGTCACACATAGGCACGGTAAGGCATATTGGGGCCGTTTCAAAGCTTTCAAAATGTACGGTCTAGAAAGGAAACGAGAGGTCTCTCATATAAAATATATATGGAAAATACTGAAATGCCAAGTCTGACATCTGCAAAGTAAAATAATATACTGGAGTGAATTATAGAAGGAAATGCAGACTAGAGTCAGTGAAGAGTAGAGATGCCAGAGGCACACAACACTGTCACAACATGTCCTCACTTGTTAAGTATCCTCCCAATAATAAATATTACCGGAACAAAAGTCTTAAAGAAAAAAAACTGGACAAGTTTCTGCAAGAAGTGCCAAACCAACGGGGCTGTAGTGGATATGTGAGCCTGCGGGCCACCACAAGCAACAGTCTGTTGGACCAAGCGCTCTCAAGTCTTGCCTGGCCCCGGGCGGGGCTTCGGCAGGAACCCCCATTCAGGTACATCACATATATTTTAAAACGGATATATTTACATGTGAACTTGAGTGGATGTTTAGTAACCATTGTGAAGGGTGTTGTGAAGACTTGTTTATGCCAGGTGTCTCAACAAAATGTATATAAACTTCAATAGCAGTAAGGTGGAGTAACGTTTATATAATATTGGGCGGCAAAGGTGCCATAATTGTTATATGCATTTATTTTAAACAGGCAATATATATATATATATATATATATATATATATATATATATATATATATATATATAAAGATCAATAATCGCTGATCTATTAAATACGGACTAATCACACATGAAATAAATCATTGCTGGTGCACTTTTGACCTCGGGGTCACTGTCCTCAGGTCTTGACAATAACCTGAATAATGTTCAAAACGTTCAAGCCATAATTGTTTCATGTGTGGTTAGTGTGTGTGTATTTTCGCACCATCTTTCTTATAGACATGTACTATTGAATATGACAAAGGGTTAAATCAATTATTCTAGCCCGAATCTTGTATAGTTCTTATGTTGTTCTTCTTGCGAAGGAAGTTGAAAAATTAGCTTTCCAAAGTTTAATATATAATTTTGTGGACTGATGCGTTTAAGTGAAGTTTTCAACAACTTCAAAGGCAAAGCAGGAGTGGATAAAAGTTTGATGAAGCTACACATATATAACTATATATAACTGCCCACAATGGTCAACGAGAGCTATCGGGTATTGGGTTAAGGGTCAAACGACCACGGAGGAAGAATTGGGCGTATTGGAGCCTGTTAGACCAAGAGCACTCAAGTCGAGCCTGGCCTCGGGCCGGGCTTTTGGAGTAGAAGAACTCTTAGAACCCCATCCAGGTACAATCTAGGTACAATCCAGAACTATTGTGTTAATTATGTACGAGACCCAATTAATGTTCCTGTACCACAGGTGTCTGTATAATAGTGTTGGAGCAGCAGTATCCATGTAACTGTTTATAATTACAAGCTTGGTGTTCCAGGGCCGTTTGTGGTACAGTGGGTGGTGGTGTCGGCGGTGCTGGGTCTGCCCCTCATGACGTTCCACGTGACCGTGGGCCAGTACCTGGGCGCCGGGGTCGTCGACATGTGGAGGATCTCGCCCATATTCCAGGTAGGTGGTGGGCTGGGTCTGGGACGCCAGGCTACGGACGCCGGAACCATCCACGTCAGTAGCGACGTGTCTGGGCTGAGTCGCAGGTGTGATGGGTGGGGATAGTGGTAGTAACCCAACAAGGTCGCAACGTTACTCTTTGCGTTGTGATAACATTACAACAACATTGTGTGCGTGCTGTGAGAGGCATCATACTCTTCATAAACTGTGGAAGTTCAGTTTTAAGCATTCTCGGCACACGGAGCGCTTTCGCTACGGTGAGAGCTGGTGGCGCAGGCGCTCCCAGTACTGTATTGTGGCAGAGTTGTATGTCTCTCCAATTAGGAAATGACATTTTGTTGTGATTCCAAGATAGCTAGGATGCTTCTTGTTGCGGTCAGGATGCTATACTCTGGCGAAAAAAAATTCCGATTATTGATGATGTTTGTCTTCGCTCACTCTCAGACACTCACTCTCAGACACTCAGACACTCACTCTCAGACACTCACTCTCAGACACTCACTCTCAGACACTCACTCTCAGACACTCACTCTCAGAGAGACAGGAGGAAAATGTATGTGACAGATCTTTTAATTAATCTAAATCGGAGAGAGAGCAAGTAGAAAGAACTACAAGGAATATATGAGGGAGGTGATGAACCAGGCTAGTATGTCTCGTGGGTCAGCATGGTCGAGCAGCCTGGGTGACCACACCACTAGGTCACAGACGGGCCACAGAGCAGCCTGGGTGACCACACCACTAGGTCACAGACGGGCCACAGAGCAGCCTGGGTGACCACACCACTAGGTCACAGACGGGCCACAGAGCAGCCTGGGTGACCACACCACTAGGTCACAGACGGGCCACAGAGCAGCCTGGGTGACCACACCACTAGGTCACAGACGGGCCACAGATCAGCCTGGGTGACCACACCACTAGGTCACAGACGGGCCACAGGGACGTTGATCCTCGGAAGCATGGAAAGGTAATACTGAAAAGCTTAAGAGGTGATAGAGGTAGTCAGAGTACATCTCGGGTGGTGGGCACAACACTGTGCCATTGACACTCACAAACAACGTGGAGTTTCCGTCAAATGAGGTAAAACAGCGCGGCTTGGGAGCTGAGGCTCGACTCTGTTGACACACACGCAGACATCATGCTGCACCATATCAAAACTAGAGGATACAGAACACGAGGAGATATGATTCAAAGTTACTATTTGTATGTGGTAGTCTTGTTTACTCTATCAGCTTCTCTTGATTTTCGACTGTAAAAATATCCAACCATTTGGCCTAACTAGAAGCGTACAAACCCAAACAACCCACCTAATCTATGGAGTTCGATGCATAGAACAAGTCGTTACTTACTCAACAGGTAAATTTGTAACGCGTTGGTTACCATAAAAAAAACACGATCTGTTGAGGGTTTGGAGTACAGCGGTACCCTGGACGAGAGGCCATAGATAACAGCGGTACCCTGGACGAGAGGCCATAGATAACAGCGGTACCCTGGACGAGAGGCCATAGATAACAGCGGTACCCTGGACGAGAGGCCATAGATAACAGCGGTACCCTGGACGAGAGGCCATAGATAACAGCGGTACCCTGGACGAGAGGCCATAGATAACAGCGGTACCCTGGACGAGAGGCCATAGATAACAGCGGTACCCTGGACGAGAGGCCATAGATAACCCTGGACGAGAGGCCATAGATAACAGCGGTACCCTGGACGAGAGGCCATAGATAACAGCGGTACCCTGGACGAGAGGCCATAGATAACAGCGGTACCCTGGACGAGAGGCCATAGATAACAGCGGTACCCTGGACGAGAGGCCATAGATAACAGCGGTACCCTGGACGAGAGGCCATAGATAACAGCGGTACCCTGGACGAGAGGCCATAGATAACAGCGGTACCCTGGACGAGAGGCCATAGATAACAGCGGTACCCTGGACGAGAGGCCATAGATAACAGCGGTACCCTGGACGAGAGGCCATAGATAACAGCGGTACCCTGGACGAGAGGCCATAGATAACAGCGGTACCCTGGACGAGAGGCCATAGATAACAGCGGTACCCTGGACGAGAGGCCATAGATAACAGCGGTACCCTGGACGAGAGGCCATAGATAACAGCGGTACCCTGGACGAGAGGCCATAGATAACAGCGGTACCCTGGACGAGAGGCCATAGATAACAGCGGTACCCTGGACGAGAGGCCATAGATAACAGCGGTACCCTGGACGAGAGGTCATAGATAACAGCGGTACCCTGGACGAGAGGCCATAGATAACAGCGGTACCCTGGACGAGAGGCCATAGATAACAGCGGTACCCTGGACGAGAGGTCATAGATAACAGCGGTACCCTGGACGAGAGGCCATAGATAACAGCGGTACCCTGGACGAGAGGCCATAGATAACAGCGGTACCCTGGACGAGAGGCCATAGATAACAGCGGTACCCTGGACGAGAGGCCATAGATAACAGCGGTACCCTGGACGAGAGGCCATAGATAACAGCGGTACCCTGGACGAGAGGCCATAGATAACAGCGGTACCCTGGACGAGAGGTCATAGATAACATAGATAACAGCGGTACCCTGGACGAGAGGCCATAGATAACAGCGGTACCCTGGACGAGAGGTAGATAACAGCGGTACCCTGGACGAGAGGCCATAGATAACAGCGGTACCCTGGACGAGAGGCCATAGATAACAGCGGTACCCTGGACGAGAGGCCATAGATAACAGCGGTACCCTGGACGAGAGGCCATAGATAACAGCGGTACCCTGGACGAGAGGTCATAGATAACAGCGGTACCCTGGACGAGAGGCCATAGATAACAGCGGTACCCTGGACGAGAGGCCATAGATAACAGCGGTACCCTGGACGAGAGGCCATAGATAACAGCGGTACCCTGGACGAGAGGCCATAGATAACAGCGGTACCCTGGACGAGAGGTCATAGATAACAGCGGTACCCTGGACGAGAGGCCATAGATAACAGCGGTACCCTGGACGAGAGGCCATAGATAACAGCGGTACCCTGGACGAGAGGTCATAGATAACAGCGGTACCCTGGACGAGAGGCCATAGATAACAGCGGTACCCTGGACGAGAGGCCATAGATAACAGCGGTACCCTGGACGAGAGGCCATAGATAACAGCGGTACCCTGGACGAGAGGCCATAGATAACAGCGGTACCCTGGACGAGAGGCCATAGATAACAGCGGTACCCTGGACGAGAGGTCATAGATAACAGCGGTACCCTGGACGAGAGGCCATAGATAACAGCGGTACCCTGGACGAGAGGCCATAGATAACAGCGGTACCCTGGACGAGAGGCCATAGATAACAGCGGTACCCTGGACGAGAGGCCATAGATAACAGCGGTACCCTGGACGAGAGGCCATAGATAACAGCGGTACCCTGGACGAGAGGCCATAGATAACAGCGGTACCCTGGACGAGAGGCCATAGATAACAGCGGTACCCTGGACGAGAGGCCATAGATAACAGCGGTACCCTGGACGAGAGGCCATAGATAACAGCGGTACCCTGGACGAGAGGCCATAGATAACAGCGGTACCCTGGACGAGAGGCCATAGATAACAGCGGTACCCTGGACGAGAGGCCATAGATAACAGCGGTACCCTGGACGAGAGGCCATAGATAACAGCGGTACCCTGGACGAGAGGCCATAGATAACAGCGGTACCCTGGACGAGAGGCCATAGATAACAGCGGTACCCTGGACGAGAGGCCATAGATAACAGCGGTACCCTGGACGAGAGGCCATAGATAACAGCGGTACCCTGGACGAGAGGCCATAGATAACAGCGGTACCCTGGACGAGAGGCCATAGATAACAGCGGTACCCTGGACGAGAGGCCATAGATAACAGCGGTACCCTGGACGAGAGGCCATAGATAACAGCGGTACCCTGGACGAGAGGCCATAGATAACAGCGGTACCCTGGACGAGAGGCCATAGATAACAGCGGTACCCTGGACGAGAGGCCATAGATAACAGCGGTACCCTGGACGAGAGGCCATAGATAACAGCGGTACCCTGGACGAGAGGCCATAGATAACAGCGGTACCCTGGACGAGAGGCCATAGATAACAGCGGTACCCTGGACGAGAGGCCATAGATAACAGCGGTACCCTGGACGAGAGGCCATAGATAACAGCGGTACCCTGGACGAGAGGCCATAGATAACAGCGGTACCCTGGACGAGAGGCCATAGATAACAGCGGTACCCTGGACGAGAGGCCATAGATAACAGCGGTACCCTGGACGAGAGGCCATAGATAACAGCGGTACCCTGGACGAGAGGCCATAGATAACAGCGGTACCCTGGACGAGAGGCCATAGATAACAGCGGTACCCTGGACGAGAGGCCATAGATAACAGCGGTACCCTGGACGAGAGGCCATAGATAACAGCGGTACCCTGGACGAGAGGCCATAGATAACAGCGGTACCCTGGACGAGAGGCCATAGATAACAGCGGTACCCTGGACGAGAGGCCATAGATAACAGCGGTACCCTGGACGAGAGGCCATAGATAACAGCGGTACCCTGGACGAGAGGCCATAGATAACAGCGGTACCCTGGACGAGAGGCCATAGATAACAGCGGTACCCTGGACGAGAGGCCATAGATAACAGCGGTACCCTGGACGAGAGGCCATAGATAACAGCGGTACCCTGGACGAGAGGCCATAGATAACAGCGGTACCCTGGACGAGAGGCCATAGATAACAGCGGTACCCTGGACGAGAGGCCATAGATAACAGCGGTACCCTGGACGAGAGGCCATAGATAACAGCGGTACCCTGGACGAGAGGCCATAGATAACAGCGGTACCCTGGACGAGAGGCCATAGATAACAGCGGTACCCTGGACGAGAGGCCATAGATAACAGCGGTACCCTGGACGAGAGGCCATAGATAACAGCGGTACCCTGGACGAGAGGCCATAGATAACAGCGGTACCCTGGACGAGAGGCCATAGATAACAGCG